TTTTCCTTTCTGAAAAATGGCCTTTAACAGTAGGTATTAAAATGAATCTCCAGGGTAACATATTCTGAGAATTTTACAAGTCCGTTTATTTAAGGTTGTGATTTTTTTCTTAGCCCAGCAAGATTAACTATTTATTTTAAGAGAGACCCAATAGCTATCAAATGCTGTATGTAGTAATTGTTTGCTATAAGCTGGTTCATCAAATTTTACTGCTAGGGTAGAATAACTTTTCCGTGTGGATAATATTAAACCTGAGTCTAGAGCTGCAACCCGCAATATTTTTTTGAGATACATTACAGTATAGTTTTTAGCATCTATGAGCTCTGTGCCTGTGGTAAATTAAACAAAACTCTCCTTCCATAAATGTAACTGCGCAGTCTTAACTCCTGTCAACAATGGTAGAAATTATTTGTGAAGAAGGGTAGAAAAATGTATGAAGTCATATCGAGGCAATATGATGGTAAGAGGCACAATTTGCTTGGGGGGAATGGGAAGAAGCAAAGATTTTGTTTTAAGTTGTTTTTTCAAGTGTATCTGTTCTTTTCAAATACACTTGAAAAGCAATATTGTAATGAACAGAGTAAGGTGTTTAGGTTAAGATTCATGTCCTTCACTGCTTTCTCAGACAAATCCTTGATTACATTAGGTTCCTTGTGAATGATTAACTGTGCTGTTAGTGAATATAGATCATTCCTGTAGCCTTGGTGTAAAAGAGGTACAGAGGGACAAACTTCGTGCTTCCTGGGCTTTCTCATCCTCTCTTTTCAGGGTTATGACTCTGTGGAAGTTAACCTTGTATGTGAGCTAAATTACCTGAAACAAGAAAAGAATTATTTTTAGTAGAAATTGCTTAAAGAGCTCTCTTATGAGATTTGTTGCTTCCTAGCAAGATCGTGAACTACATATTAACATGGGGATTTTACATCCCTAATTCCTCATTGTGTGGTATATATTCCCCAAATACTTACTCAAAGAGCCAAGAGTAAAATTAGCCTTTGTACACAAAATCATGGAAAATTATGTTTATATTTATTCTGTGAGCAGAGGCATTGTAAACCATGTGTGCAAAACTAAATTTCGAGAGGTTTTTTTTGTATAATAATTCTTGTGAATAAAAAAAAGAAGAATAAAAGGTCTAAGGAATATTAAAGAGAAAAAATCTAAAGAATATTTTAAACAAAAGCTATTTGAGGTAATTAATTTCCACTCCAATATTAAAAAGACAAAGATTGTGACAATGGCAGATGTAAGATGCTAAATTCAGTCTGTTTGAAAATGAGCACTGTAAGTAAAAGAAATCATTTACACCAGGTAGAGATAGTGACATCAGCCCCCTATTTTTAGCAATATGCAAATATTCCACTGTCTATATTGCACTTTTTCTTAAATAATTGTGCTCTGTTTCCTCTAAGAAAAAATCATGGCTCACAAGTTTTAAATAATTAGTGTACTATTGATTTGTTGCAGTTTGTGAATCCCTGGTATAAAGAATTGTGGATTCCAGTGGGATTTTTCTGATGGTTTAAATCTGAACATTGCACTTACTGGATTGAATTTGGATCACTCTTAACATTTACTAGGATTAGTGTAAAATCCATGTTTTACTTACCTTTACTGATTTAATTTGTTAAAAAAAAAAGGGATGTCTTGTCTTAAATAACAAAAAAGAGTAGATTTCCTATTAAATTTCTTAAACATATTGCTCTCCTGGGACTTGGTTAGGTTAGATAACACTGTATAAAGTCACCCTGGTTTTATAATAAGGTGTGTTGTGATTTTTTTTTTTTTTTTTTTTACTATTACAATGTGGTTGTCTGACTGAAAAAATCAAAATAAACAAACAAATAAATTTGAACTTTCATGTTATTTTTAAGCTTGAATTTACAAAATTAGTTTTGTATTTAAAAACCTATAGGGAAAACATGCAGGAAGCTGTCTTTGAATTTGTTATGTATTTATGAATTATAGATTAAAACATTTATCTGTCCCTTGTGTGTTATAAATGCTCATGAATAGCAGGGAGAAGGATGCCAAATCAATCCACTGTATTGTCCAGTGTATGTGTCATCATTGGAAGTCACAGTACATAGTAAGATTATTTGAGTACCTTAGAGACTTTACCAAAATGCATGTGATTTGAAGCGAAATAGTGTGTCTTGAAGAATAGAAGTATTTATTTCAAATACTTAAATTAGAAAGTTGCATTTAGTGATAAACTTTTCTAAATTATTTAGAGACATTTTTACTGTTGAGATGTAGTAGTACAAAACCCCAAACATTACTGTTTTATGTTCCAAATAGAAACTATGAGGCATCTTTTAAAGCTAATGATGTATCACGCTACACAGGAGTTCCAGTAAGCCAAAGCCGTAGGCTAGAATCTTTGTTTACTAGATAGTTCTTATTTTTTCATATAGGACCTGCTAGTATGTTTTTTGATTAACCTAAAAAACATAAAATGTTTGCCTGAAAGTGTGCATTGCACACTCCAAAAAAAATCTAGTATTCTATAACATACAAGTATATAGCCTGGAATTACAATTAATGTGTAAAATAAAAATCTAACTGTCTTATTTTTATTGTTTCTAAATGTTAATGTTGTGTTGAGGTACTTTGACCCCTAGGTAGGCAGATAAAAGTTAATAGATTCAGTCAGCTCAGGATGGTACCTGGATCAGGTAATCGAGTTAACATGAATGAAGCAGAATGCTTATCTCTTCTTTAAAAAGAAGAGACTGTTGAGCTAGAAAGAAGGTAGAGAGCACTAGAGAAAAAATTTTAGGCTTAAAAAAAGTTTATGTAAGAGGAGTTCTACTCTGAAGCGTGTTCTGATAAGGAGCAAAGGAAGACTTATTCTGCAAATTAGTTTCTGGAAGAAGCAGCAGTCTAAAGAGCTGTCCACAAAGTCTGTGAATGTAAGTCCTCGAGTCAGCACAGTGTGTCTGAATTGAATTTGGTTTGCAGATATTTAGATGTATTTCTGTAGAGTAGTTTTTTGGTGAAAAATTGGAAAGACTGAATGGAAAACAACTGAGAGCATTAGAGGAATGCAAGACCTTGCCACTTCATGGTGTACGAGGGAACAATTCTTTGTCTGACCCCATAGGATATTGAAATGACAAAGGGAAGAATTGGGCCTGAAGTCCCCCAGAAGTCATATTGGGCAGGAGTACCTTTGGCTGGCAAAATATAACTGTGATTTTTTTTTTTAAACATGGAATTTTGCTTATATGAGTATTGCAGAGATATTATACTGTTTAATTGAAGGGAGCATGTTCTGGCTATACTGTAAATACAACTACTAGTGGGAAGAGGTGGTATTTAAAATTATTGGTAGGTAGGTGGTTCCAAAATGTGGGTTTTGGTTTTTTTGTTTCGCTTTCTTGAAAACGTTTGCTTTTCCAGTATTTATTCATAAAAAAGAGAGCGAAGTTATCTATTGGTAATAGAAATGTCCAGCTTTAGAGTATGTTTTCATTTTTATTTTTTCCTTTTAGTTCTGAAAATAACATATTACATTTAAAAAATGGTGCACTGCCTGAAGATCCAAATGAAGAGAACAACTCAAATTGCTGTAAGTACATCTATACAATACCTTGTGTCACTAGAGTAGAAATTAGATTACCTACATAAGCAAGATTTTGGCATCTTAAGTATGTTCACTAATTATTATTTATGGGTATACTCAGTAACTCTTACTTATAGGAGAGTGTATCTTCTGATATATTTAATTAAGTGAAATGACTTCTAAGGTTGCACTGTAGTCGTAGTGATTTTACCATTAAAGAAAAAAGAAATCTGTTTTTCTTTTTTTAGGGACTTGTGGGCTGGCTTCATGGGAGTCTGATATGGAGGCTGTGCAACTTACCTAATTTATTTTTGAAAATACTCATCAACAGGGATTGTGCATTTCTTGCTCTTATTTCCTGTGGAAATGTCAGTCAACAGTTCTGTTAAAACATATGAATCTAAAGCCATAGCCTTTTCTGAGGCTGTTGCAAGTCCCCTTGAGCAAAATTTGTAGGACGACCTTATGAAATTACTTTACTTTTGTCCCCTTGGAAAATATTGTGGTGTTTTCATGAGGTTGTATGGAAAGCAGATTTGTAATCTGAATAATTTAGCCCTTCAAGGTATATTGATTATCTCATATTGTATTCTGAGATGTGATTAACAACCAACTAATACACAGTTCATAAAAACAAAAAGTATGTACCTTAAGCAATGAGGTGGGGTACAACTATTGTACCAATTTGTGAATAGCTTACAAGAGGTTTTCATTGCTTCAGTCAGATTGGAGCTACAGAGACATTTTTGATGGCATTTTAGGTCTTTAGAAACAAAATAATGTTTTCATTTCTTGTAGAAGTGCATTTCTGCTTTGAGAGTAATTCCCCTTCATTCTCTCAATAACATAGCGAGCAAAACCTAAACAAGAGTCTTCCATATGTGTTTTACACCCTGACCTAAGAGAACATGTACTATTAAGGGTCAAGAGTCCTAAGTGGAGAGCAATAGGAACTAGGAATATTCTTTTCTTTTGGAGCAGCCATAATAAAAAGGAAGAAAACTGCCAAAAAATTCTAAATTATTTATTAACTGTTACTTATTTGGTGATTACTTTTTTTTTTTAATTTCACAGAATCCAGAAAGAAAGTAAGAAGGGAGGGCTCTCACAAGACTAATTCAGTCTGCTCCACAGTTTGACATACTTTGAATGAAAAACACTTGAATGGGAGACAAGTTTGGGAGTCAGTGCCTTATTTAGTCAAAAATTATTTGCTGTTAGGGCTGCCTTACCCTATTTGATGGAAGGGTAAAAATGGGACTTCAGTTCTATTGGTGTCTTTTGGGTTTTTTGGTTTTGTTTTTTTTTCCCTTTTTTTGGTCATTGTTTATGGAGGCTTTAGAAACATCAAATTCATATCAAATTTACCTGTTAGTTAAAGCATGAATATTGGGAAATTTGTATTTTTATTGTTTAAAAAACAATTTGGACTATGGAGATAAAAGGTGGGTGGTGGCTATGCCTTTCTTCAGCTTGGTTCTTGGTGATTTTGAGGGGTGAATCAGTTCTATTTAATTGGCCAGAGTTTAGCATAGGTTTCTTACATGATCTTCACTCATTTCTGTTGCCTTCACTTTCACTTCTATTCTTAAGTCTGCTGAACTTCCTAGAAAGCTAACCAGCCAAGCTTGAATGAAAACTTGGTTCTAAGATAATTTGCAATATCAAAATATGCTTAGTAGATGAAAAACACTCAGTGAGAAAGTAGAGCGACTCTACCAAATTCAGCCCTAAGGTTCTTAGTGTCTTATGAGGAAAGCACTTTCTTAGCACAATGCTTTTGTGAAAGAAACGTGAAGAAAGCACGCTTGCAGTTTTAGTTTTTGTCCATTCTGGAGGATTTCAGATTATAGTATAACTTAGTTACTGCTACTGAGAGCAAGATTGTTTGTTTAAATAGTAGTTAACTGTACTCTTCTTTCTGGCAGAAGTAGTCATTTGCTTATAGGCTGTACATTCTTAAAGAGTTTATAATGATGAGAACTGTCTGTTTTCCCCTGATTTTTTTAAGTGCACGGAATAAGAACACAAGTAGTTAGCAAAATGTATTTAAATAATACAGCATACAATATTGGAGCACATTTACACAACTGTAACTCCAAATAGCGACTACTGGTTACAAGTCTGCCTTAAATACTGATTAGTACAGAGGGGTGTATGCAGTATCCTTATATTTAAACTCAGGAAGCTACATTATTTTACAACCTGTGCTGTCGTATCTAAACAACCATTTAAACTTATTTTAACAGCTGACCAATCTAGCCTCCTGCATGAGTTCTTCAGTCCAACGGAGAAATTGTCCTTGGAAGGGAGAAGTTCTGCAGCTTTAGATATTCACTTCCTTCCCTTTAATCTGGAAAAACGTTACTGCACTGTCATCTTGGTTAATGAACTGGTAAGAATAGAAAGTATGTTCTGTGAGTGGTTTTCACGTGATAGCCTAGTCAGTTAAGAATCAGAATATGTTTGCCAATTATGTGTGAATAGGGCAAATGAATATACAAATTGGTTATGTACATATTTTAAGGTAATGTTTTTGCACATGTGCAATTACAAAGAAGTGATCTATGTGCTAACTTTTGGAAGTCAATTTTTTTTTGTCATTTTTTTGGTTAAAATACATTATTCCTATAGTTCATGGAGGAAAATATTGCTTAAGAAGTTGGTCAGAGATTTACATAAGATTACAGGCTTCAACTAAGAAATTTAAACCAAAGTTTACTGCCCTTTTTTCTCCACATAATTAGAATTATATGAAATCATAGAATCATAGAATGGTTTGGGTTGGAAGGGATCTTAAATCTCACCTAGTTCCAACCCCCTCTGCCATGGGCAGGGACACTTTCCACCAGACCAGGTTGCTCAAAGTCCCATCCAGCCTGGCCTTGAACACTTCTAGGAATGGGGCATCCACAACTTCTCTGGGCAACCTGTTCCACTGCCTCACCACCCTCATAGGGAAGAATTTCTTCCTCATATCTAATCTAAATCTTCCCTCTTCCAGTTTAAAGCCATTGCCCCTTGTCCTGTCACTCCATGCCCTTGTCAAAAGTCCCTCCCCAACTTTCTTGTCGGCCCCTTTAGGTACAGGAAGGCTGCTCTAAGGTCTCAGAGCCTTCTCTTCTCCAGGCTGAACAACTTTTTGACATGTAGCACCTCATGTTAGGAAAACTAAGTCCCATCCACATAATTGTATTGTTTGTAAGAAAATGTGGTAAATCTTCTAGGGAAGGATTGAAAGATGAAACTGCAAGACAGCTAGCATGATTTTAGATAGTAATGGCACAGGAAGAAATTGGCTTGCTTAAATATTGTGTATATGGCTGCAGTATTTCAATCATACCATTATCTAATTGACAAACAAGTGTAGCTACCATGCTGTATAACGATCAAATGACTTCATACAATGATGAGACTTGTATCATTTAAATATGGATTTGTGCTGTATATAATCTAATAAATAATTTAATTTAGCATTTCTGTAATTTCTTCCTACCTACCTTTCCTACTCTTTTTGACAAATGGACCAAAATAGTAATTGGAGTAAGACTGCTTCTTCATTACAATCAATGAAGAAGTTATTAAAATTCAGATCGTTAGTTAGACTTGAATCTGACTAGGACTCCTATCTGTCGTTGCATCAACTATATATCTGGAATAAAAGCAAGAAGATACACTGACTCAAGTTTGTTGGCCTACTCAAGTATGTTGCTTAAATTGTTTTGAAATATGTTTTTATTAAAAAGTATGTTAACTTTTCTAAGGTTTGAAATGACAACACAAGTTGTTTATAACATTTCTCAATATTGTTTCAATATTGCTTTATTTTTTAAGAAAAAGTGAAACTGACATTCTTCAAATTTTTAGCATAGAACTTTTCAGAGAAGAAATTAGATATTGGTTAATGTAACTGGGTTGCTTTTTCTCTATATCTTTGTTTCTGGGTGCTAATTTAAATGTGAACAACCCATGATTTTGATGATAACAATTTTTTAAGTCATAACTTAAGAGTGTCGGTCCAGACTTTCAAAGCTAAATGTCTAATATAAAATGAAATGGTTTATTAAGAGAACACTTTACTGTCTGTTGTTCTTAATTACTGACCTGCATGGAGAGCTGTAAATTCCTAGTAGCTATACATTCTTTTGAAATATCGGTTAGCAATGGGGTTAGATAAATAGCTAATGGTAGTTCAACAGCTATTTTATTAACTATTTTTATTAACAGTAAACCCTACAAAACATTGATGCTATCCTGTTTGCATCTAATGGAAAATGGAAATATAAAGCATTAAATCTGTAGGGATACTAGCTGAACTCTCGAAATACAGTAAAATACCTATTCTGTTCCAAAGCATTGGGAAAAACCTCAGCAGAAAGAAAACAAGATCTGCATTCTATGGAGATCAAAAAGCAAGAATTCTTCAAAGCAAAGAAGGAAATGGGGAAGTTTGTTCCTACCTATAAGCATATCAATGTCAGCAATGACAAGAAAAGTAATTGATAGTAGAGCGGCATCCTAGCAACCAGTACTTTTGTGAAATTAGTTATATAAGCTGTGAGCTTGTTAATGGTCCTTATGGAGCCAAATCGCTCTGTCAAACAGGCATAATTCCTGTTTAAATTGATTCCCAGGATAGTGGCTATTAGTTTGTGTGTGGGCAACCAGTTTTGCTGTAGGTTTCTTGAATCCTTCTCAAGGAAGATCTGTCTGAACTCTTGAGTCAAGGAAGGGGAGAAAATGCCATCAAAGTTGAATATCTTTCCTTCTGCTGGGTCAGAAACATAGTTGCTGTGATTTCAGCCTTAACATAAATATCTAACAAAACTATGAATAAAGGTAAAATAAAAAGCAGGCTTGTCTTATGTTATTGACCGATATTAAAGGGGAAAACATTGCATTGGTTGGCAGATAGACTAAATTACGTAAATAAATTATTTCCTTTGTATCTGGAATGAAGAATAAATGACAGAATATGCATTTTTAGGGCAGAGTTTTACGGAATGTGGTTTATGGAAATAAAAAGATGCCCTTCTGTGCAAATTATATCAGTTGTTGCAGCAGCATTTTATCCTTTAAGTTGCAATCAGTAGAAATTAAAGTTGTCCAAATTTGTGGTAAACAAAAAGAAGCTATCAAAGCAATAGTAATATATCTACTAAATCTCCTGCCTAGTTCAGGTAGATATATAGGTACCTAATTTAGATATCTTTTAGCTTTGGGATGTTCTGGTTGTGACCTTTATAATCTGAAGTACTTTTAGTGAGTTTTCTTTTTTAAAAAAATACTTTTCTGCTTTCATTTGCACCTTATTTTTTTCATTTCATCTGTGACTCAAAGTGTTATTTCTCTGCTAATTAATTTATCCTTTCCTCTATGACAAATTGCTATCTTCCTTTGTTCTAGGTCATGTTTATATTTACTTTCAAACTTCTGTAGGTTTTGTGTTATTTTTGAGGAAATAATTAAGATTTCTTAATTTTATTTCTTTTTAATGGAGAATTTGTACAGGATGCTAACCTGCCTTGACTTCTGCACTGTTTTACTTTCTAGAGAAATGTCACTGGCTCAAAATTACTGTAAACAATTTTTAAAAAAGGTTCTTAACAGTAAGGAGCAATGAAGTAAGCTCGTGAATAGGTTTAAATTATATGTAGCTATAGCACATAATTAGAATTCACTCTATTGCTGTATTAATGAGTCAGGATATCCTCATTCAGTTAAGTTATATGAGGAGTTGGAACGCATTCAACTAGTTGAAATTTCTTGACTTTTCAGATTTAATATTCTCAATTAAAGGCACTTTATTATCATAGCAGGCTTTGAAATGATCATTTTCTTTTATTTAAACATAGTTTTAAAATATTGGGTCTCCTGAATATGTAAATTATTTCTGAAGTCAGATCTTAAATATTATTAGGACATCATTGGCTTTAGTTTTAATATTTTGCCTTCTGTTCTGCATGAATTGCTTTCTGATGTATATGTTCTTGTGTTTCAGATTGGAGAATTTGTATACCTGATAGAGGGAACAGGTGATATACCTTTGCCTTCAGGACTGCTTCCAATGGATAGTCCAAATGTTTTGCATGTTAGCAGTACTTTAGAAGGTAAAGTGAATAGAAGGGAGAACAGTAAAATAGAGCAAACAATTTTCTTTTGCAAATATTCTTTACTTCCCATGCATTTTTGTTAAAATTAATTAAATACATCTGGTAAAAACAGTTGCTTATACTGAAGAGTAAGAAAGATGTTACAGTGTAACTATCAGATATTTCTTTTAATGTTGTCCAGTCCATTCTCTTCAGAACCGCAGCTGGTTTGTTGGCTATCTTCTTCAACTTTCTTGTCTTGTTTTCAACAGTCTCTTCTTTTCTAGTTCAGAATATAGGTTGTAGCCAGATGAACCAGGAAAAGTCACCTTTACCTAGAATTGTTCTAGTTTTAAACCACGAGTTTTGTATACAGCGTTGTGATTTGACAGGCAATCCAATGCTTTTGTCTTCAAAGAGCCAGTGACAAACTGCTGTCAGTCCTATTTCAGAAACAGTGCTGCTGTTAATTGGAATAATAGCTGGTGGCTTCTTTTGGAGGGGATGCAACATCATCTAGAGGGGTAAAAGAGTGGCTGTGTTGTGCTGTTAGCAGAAAGACTATTTTAAACTTTCTTTACCGTCATAACAGTAGTAACACTAAAGTCTGGGATTTTTTAATTAAGTATCAAAAGCAATTTCTGGTTTGGATTTCAGTCTATGTTAATTTTTTATTTCCCCATTATGATTAAAAATAAAAAAGTATTACTGGACTAAATAGCGTGTACTAGAGTAATAGCATGTAACTAAACATCAAAGGAATTTTGTATTCTGGCTCTTCTTTGGAGACTGGAGATTTTAAATACTCTATGCAGTTACACTAGCAGCTGACAAATGTGCTGGGTTTTTTTTGTCTGTTTTAATTTAACAGGTCCAAGTGCGGTAGGGTCAGTTTTATATTTGAAATGCGGTCTTGGTCAGATTCTTGAAGAAAATCTGAGGATTCCATTGATCAATGAGTCAAGAGAGAGGGCTCTGGCCATTGCTGCACAACAGCGGATGTCAACTATGGAATATGAAAGAAGAAAGATCACAGGGACTCTGCAGAGCAGTAGCGTTCGAGTTGCAACTGCATTGTTAGGGCTGTCCAGTGCAGAGGTGAGCAACACAGTAATCTGTTACTGCAATTATTTAGTTAGTCTTGATTTGTAGGACTGAATTTGTAGGACTGAAACTAAAGCTTGCAATTCCCACTGCGTCGAGATGTGTCCTCATAGTTAAGCTGTAAAAGGTATTTACTTAGGCTCTGTCTTGCCTCCCTTCGAATGCATGACTCATCTGATCATACCAGATCTCTGTAT